ACTTCAAGGGCGTTGTTATTTTCTGGCAAAAGACATTTGCGAGTAGCTTTGGGGAAGGGTATTGTCTTGTCCAGCAAGATAGACTTTTTTTCTGTGTTTCAGTGGCATGAGTGACACGAGTTACTCAACCGAAGAATTAGTTTCATCCTCGGCTGCAGGATGGAAAGCCTCAGGGCTATTCAACGGGCGGCCCGCGGGCTGGAGCTTCAGTCAGGCCCAGAGTTCATCTTTTTTTGTTTGTTTGTTTTGGGTTCTGTTTATTGCATTTATGATTCAATGCAATAAAACAAACACATTTAAAAGTTAACAGATCATTGTAATACTTGGTTTATTTACATAATGACTAATTGCTGGATGTCCGGCCCCTGAGCTGCTGGCTTTCAGTAACTGGGCCCCCTGAGCAGTTTAGTTGAACAGCCCTGCCTTAGCTGCAGGGAGAGAAACTACGATGTCACCATCAAAATTTGCCTGTTCCTGTGATTTACATTTTTTTAGCCAAACCCAACAGCATTTGAACTAATGTAACACATTCTGAATTCCTTTTTTTTTTTTTAGGTTACCGTACTTTTAGCTGTATAAGTTAGTTTTTTTTGCATAAATTAGCATGCCCTGTGACTTGCACAGCCAAGTGACTTATTTATGTTTTTTTTCCCATATTTATAACCAAATTTTTGGCTGAGATCTGACAATTTCATTCATTCTGACATGGAAAATATTGAACACTACCATTTTCAGCTGCTAGAGGGTGCTCGACATATATGGCAAGCCAAGTGCCTAATTAATAGAGAAAAGTGGGTATTAATGAGACACTTGACTTGCCATACAAGACACCTTCGTCTTGCTCTGGAACTCCTGGAGCAAACATCAAATCGGCTGCATTTCGACGCACTGCCCAGGCGAAAGGTAGCTGATTTGATTTTAAATGTTAATCATTAAATTCTTGTTAAAGTCCTTCCATGCACACTCCTGCGGCCACCATTTGGCAGTCGATTGATTTTTGGCACAACACCGGCCCATGTTTCCAAGTGGTCAGCGGTGACGCGTAATAGATGCGACCTATACGGTGGCAAGTACGGTAATTCATCGGAAAGCTTTGAGAACTTGCAGCTGCATCAGCTGGACCATCTCATGTCACACTGTACACACCAACAAAAAGCCTTCAGCATGACACACAGCTCCACTGATTACAACCTGCCTCCTCCAGATACCTGCAAAACCCACAGCAAACAATCATTTGGACATGCGTAGATATTGGCACATCACAGTTCGCATGAAGACGGCACAAAACAAAAGCACGTCTCTGTGTAGACTATAAAAAAATTTCCTGACAGTTTTGTATGTGTAGATGAGCAATTCCTCTCTGAGGGTTCATGTTTTCCTTGTAGTGCTCAGATATTCTTTCAGTTCAGTTTAAAGAAAAATGCACACACATAAGTGACATAATTAAGCTCTTGCAGCTCCCTACACCAGTTTAAGTAATGAGCTCAGGAGCTAAAGCACCAGAAAGGACAAGCTTTTTACAAATGGACTACAATCCAGAGGAAGCGGTGTTCCCTGCTGTCGCTGCCACTGAACAGTTTCTCTTTGCTCCTGTCCCTTCAAATACATCAGCTGAGGACTTTGAAAAATGGGTTGCGAGTG